TAATTTTGAGATTCAAATTTGTTTGTAAGTTAATTAAAAAGAGATAGGTAGAGACAAAGACAAATTTCTCCCTCTTCTCGATCTTTCTGCTCTGAGAACATTGAGCTCGCTCTATGTTCTCGCTCCAAAGCGAAACAAACACTTTAGGGATCTCTCGGAGTGTCAATTCAAACACTTTTGAAGCGCTCGGAGATCTCCGATAATCAAATCAAACGCACCATTAATAGGTGTGTTTTAATCATCCGCTTCTGCTTCGGAATTGTCGGTTTTCTTGTTTTAATCTGACAGGTTAAAACGACTAAACCGACAATTCCGGAAGCAGAAGCGGATGTAAAACGCACCTGATATTTTGCTTGCTGCTGTCAGTGTCAGTGAATATTATTTTTGGAATCACAGTTTATTGCTAAAGAATCAGTTAGCTCACTCGGACCAGTTGAAAGTTCCAAAATAACATTCACTCCAGGGATACAAATTTAGGATACGCAGAAGAATGCTGTTTTATTATAGGCGGTTGTCATATATTGTATTATCCGAGTTGCACAGTGTATAAACTGAAACATTGAGATCAAAAGTGCCGACGCAGAGTGAGCGATCTGATTCTTTAGCTGTAAACTGTGTCACAGGGTTCAAAATGGCCGCGCCCTATGTTGGGCGTGTCGGACCTCTCTCTTGCCTCGTATAGTAATCAAAGTATGTGTACCAGTCGCTAGTCTATGACCAGTCGGCAATTTATTGGTCAGGTCATCCATCATCAGTCCATCATTTTATTGACTATTAGAAAATGCCTATATACTTTTGACAAGTATAATAGTTCAAATACAGTGTCGAGTGTGACAGTAGTGTAACAAATAAAATCCATTATAATCTTAGAGCATATAAGACTAGAGGTGTTACTCAATTGGGTTTGTTATGTACTGAGGGGGGTAACCCCTTCGGTGTTAGGTACACGACGCTTTATGATTGGCGAGCTAGGTACACGACGATTTATGATTGGGGAATTTAAATATCGCGCGTGTTTGTGATAAATGATATTTCATTAGACGTCTTGTTTTCGTTTTTAAAAAGTTCGGTTTTTGTAGCTACAGAAGACAATTTGGACAAAGTGCTTATTTTATAAACCTTTTAAGTGTGTTTTTATAATAAAATAGTTTGCAATAATAAATTCTAAAAAGGGTCCTGGTTGACGTTTCACAAGTTAGTATTTTATATTTCATAAACGTAACTTAAAATGGGAAATGTTTTTTCTCACGCTTTTTCAGGGAAACGAGACATAACTAACAAAAGACACATCTTCATGAGTTAAGATCAATTATCGACGTATACAAAACAACCAAAAATGCCATATAATGTTTGTTTAAATAAGGAGATGGCACTTAAGATTCATAATCTAAACTTCTGCATTCGTGATTGGGGTACGGGACGACGCCCACACTTCTCTAGCCGAGGCCGGAGGACAGTGGCGAAGATTTTCGGACAAAAACAACATGTATTGTAGATGTAAATAGTATTGTACATAAATCTGTAAATAAATTTTTCATTTTTCATTCATTTGAGCATCACTACAACTGGTTGCGTTTGACAGAAAATAATTGTTTTCTTTGCGATATAATGCTTAATTTATTAGTCTTTTTTTGTACTGTAAAATGGATTAGATACCTATTTGTATTTTACATATTTATTTCCCATTAATTTTTTTTTACTTATTTCAGATTTTCTACTGATCTCACAACCAAACTGGCTTAGTGTCAAGTGCTTAGTTTGAGCATTAATAGCATGCCTAACAACACATGTTCATCTATGTTCAGACTATTTTTCAACTGAACAATATTGTGAAGGTAGCAATTCGCTCCGTGCGCGACAGCAGCGCCAATTCGATTTGGTACTAATGGACTATTTCTGCGTATACTGACAAATACAATTTTAATAGAATTCGTAATTAAAAAATATATATGTTAGTTTTAATAAAAGTATATGGATTTGTAAAACAAGTAAAACAATAATTTATTATTATTATATACTTTTATCGCCTAAATTAAAGAAAAATATGTATAATCAATAAAAATCAATAATAAAATATAGGCAAGCCATAGTATTTACAGAAAAATGTATGAGAAGTTGCCTAAGTCTAATTAGTTGTCATTGAAGAATTAGCCTATTCTGTTAATAATAGTGTGAAGTTAAAATGTATAAAAAAAAAGGATTGTTGTTTATATTTTCATTTTTGTTCGAAACAAAACATAGAATGAATCAATAAAACTGGTTTCCCATCAGTAAGTCACAAAATTGCATTCCAGCCACATATAATAAAGGCAGAAATTTTGAAATCTAGTCCTTGCTGAATGAACATTTAAGAATAAAGGGATATTAAAGAACATCGTAAAATGATAATTTATTGTTTATTTAAAACCTTTCGAGTTTCTGATGTCTACTATTTCCAGCGTTACTGTTATTATTACAAAAATAAAGGTAATTTTTCTTCTAATTTTACACCTATCCATTTATTTCTTTGATTTAATTTCTATTTTGCTACTGAAATTTTTTATACAAGTGTCACTGTTTTTTTTTGCTAGTATTTTTACAATTTTCAACACAGCAACTTCGGTTGCTTATTGTATTGTTTTTACCTACTTTTTTGAACAAAAATAAAATGTATACGTGTATTTGATATGCCAAAATTACTAAATATCGCCCTAAAATGCACGAATTATCCGCAGCTAGCGCTAGTATCGCTTTTGCTTTCCTTTCCATGACTTCGCACGGAGCGAATAGATTAATAAAAGGAGCTATACCAAAAGCTGTACCTGTACCTTGCTTTAGAAATGTGTAAGTTTTTTCAATATAAACTTTCGAAACACACTTATTTCCTTATTTTGTTAAATAGTAAACATTTGAGTATTATTATTACATTATTGTTTACAGGCCAAAGGTGGAAGGCTAATGAAAAGGTATAATTAGCTCTTACATTTTTATACATCAAATAGGTGCTGGTAATGGCCATTAGAACTTATAAAATTTAATAAAATGTGTATCATTAATATATCGGCAGAATAATTTTTATGTACATTTCATTTGTCGGGATAAAAATAAGCAACACAGGGAACTTCAATCTTTTACTTCCTCTAAAAAGACAAAAAATTGTTCCAAATTTGGTAAACTAATCACCTAAAACCACAATGTCTGTAAACTCCCATTCATCTAAACTAACTGCTTCTGAAGGAGAAAAAGAACTTACAAAAGAAAAAATAAGATTTGTTAAAGTCAAATAAGATACTTTCTCATATAATCAAACATTATTATGATTTCAGGGAAGCAATGCCTGAGAAAAAAATTCAAAGTTATTTTTTGATAGAAAATTAGCTTTTGTCCAAAAGAAGATTCTAGCAAGTTTCAACAAACTCAATCAGTTGAAGTAAAAGAAGCTATTGTGCTCTGCTTGTAAAGTTAATACATACGTCTATTACGCATAGTAGTATACCTACTGTATTTTATATTATCTTCTGTATGTGTATATTGTATCTATAGAGTATTAAGTTTTGTGCCATTATTTTAAAATGTTTTATGCTCTAATATAGGGAGTCAAATTTAACATTTTTTACCTGAAAATGTGTATGATACGATTTTTTTTTCTGTATTCGTCCCACTCTATATGTTATTTGTTTTTAACTGTTGGGTGGTGTACTAAATACTTAATAAATAAATTTCATGGGTGTTTTGGTAGCATTAATGTTTATTTCGTTTATTTTTATGTTTTATAAATAGCTTACTTTTACATACATATATTACATCTGGGTACAACCAATAACTATGTTTTGATTACATTGATTATTAATTTTATTATAAAATATGTACATTTATTATTATTACTAATAAAAATAAATTATTGTTATTTGTTTTTACTTGTCTTTTATTTGCTCTATAAAAAAATTCAGTTTCTAAATTATCTACTTGAAATAAACAAAAATAATGTGTGGCCACGAATCCATTTGAAAGCATACAGTTTCAAAACTTATATAGACATATAGTCCTTTTAGTAAAACATGTATATAATACAGTGTATAACGGAAGCTTAAGATAAATAAAAAGGACACTAAATATTGTTAAATAAATTTGTTTCTCTTAGTGCCAGTCTTTTCACCTTGGAGTAAGGTTTAATAACTACTTGGTGATTAAAGTATAAGATATTGTGCTCTAATCTGTCAAGTAAACATACGTGTAACTTTACTCATAGGTGAAAAAAATGGCCCTTAATCATGTGAATCAATTATCTAAGCCGACTGGCTGCATTAATGCGCATTTAGTTCGACTTTTTAAGTGGTGTCTGTTTGACTGGCAGAACCTAATTAATTAAAAGTCAATTATTGCATTCGACTCAAATTGCTCGGTACCAAGGCATAGTGAAATTTTGGTTCGACTGGTAGGCGCTCTTGCTCAAAGTTCGAATTTTTTGGAACTGTAATTTTTTCAGTGCCAGTGTCATTTTGGAGGTTAGGAATTATTTAATAATTTTAAATATGTTACCATCTTTGTTTCTATTATTAGTGAGAATAGAAAATCTTTGAAATTAATAGATTTAATTTTTGGTTTGGCAGCTATAAATAAATATCGTTAAAAATTTGTTAGAAGCCTGAAATGTCAAGTGCTAACTGTGCCAGTCGAATAACGATAAAGATGCGCTACACCAATGTCGAATTCTTGCTCGTGCTTGCTGTGTTCACTGCTAGATATAAACTTGAATTATAAAAATGCTGCCCAAAATCAATTCAGAACTAAAAGCGCTTTGTCATCGAGCAAGAGCATTTGAGTCGAATCCACTTAAATTATTAGTTATTGTGACATTACACTGCATAAATGGTAAACATAAATATGAACCCTTTCAAACCGTACGCCATTGAGAATGGAGTACCTACCCCTCTCCCCACACGTTTAAAGTAATGACCCCGCTTATACATAACAAAATACATTGAATGATATCTCCAGTCTTATATGCTCTAAGATTATAATCTTTCAAAGATTATAATATATGTATACTGTCATTAATCAAATTATAAAAAAATATGCTTGAATTTCAAGATGTCAAAACTGATACAGTAGAAAACGTTCGAGTTTTCGTAAGGATAAGACCATTAAAAGAAGGGGAGAGAACCGTAATCAACAAAGAGGTAGTCAAATCGGATAAAAGCACAGTTACTATAACTAAGCAGGGAATAGTAAGAACTTTTAAGTTTAGTAAAATTTTCGATGAGAAGTGCAATCAAATAGAATTGTACAGTAATGTAGCTGTGCCCATAGTAGAGCAAGTATTGGAAGGATATAATGGAACAATTTTTGCATATGGACAGTCTGGTACTGGCAAAACTTACACTATGATAGGTGATGTAGGAAATCCAGACCATCAAGGTATTATACCAAATATATTTTCTCATATTTTTGCTCAAATAACTTTAGCAAAAAATGACTATTCGTATGCAGTTACCGTCACGTATCTAGAAATCTACAATGAGGAAATTCGCGATCTTTTGTCCGAAACACCAGAAAGAAAACTTACTTTAAGGGAAAGACCAAAGTTAGGAGTATACATTACAGATCTTTTAGGATTTACTGTCAACTCTTTAGAAGCTGTAACAGAAATTCTAATGAAAGGGAATAAAAATCGTGCCACAAGTTCTACCAAACTAAACGATATTAGTTCAAGATCACACGCAATATTTACTATACTAGTAGAAACTAAAAATAATCTTACCGGTAAAAGAACATTTGGAAAGATTAACTTAGTAGACCTAGCTGGCTCAGAAAGAGTAAACAAAACTCAAGCTACTGGAGATCGGCTTAGAGAAGCAGGAAAAATTAACTTGTCACTTTCAGTTTTAGGAAACGTAATATCAGCACTTGTAGATGGCAAAGCTTCTCATATACCTTACAGAAATTCAAAGTTAACGAGACTGCTTCAAGATTCTTTAGGTGGTAACTCTTTAACTGCGATGATCGCCTTGGTAAGTCCAAGATTTCAAGATTGCGAAGAAAGTTTATACACGCTTATGTATGCAGATAGGGTTAAACATATTCAAAATCATGTTTCTATTAACGTAGAGACTAAAAGCATTATTGAAACTTTTGAAGCCAAGATACAGTCGTTGAAAGAAGAACTAAGATTGTTGGAGCTAAAAGAGCAAAAAGAACAAAAAAGGGCAAGAAGAAAAAGCAAAACATCTCTAACTCAAGAGGAGTTTGATAATATTGAGTTAGAAAAGAGTATTCTCGAAAATAAAATAAATATGATTCAGAAAAAGATTTTAGTTGGGGGTGAAAATCTTGTGGAGAAGGCCCAACAGCAAATGGATATGTTAGAAGATGCAGCTAAAGAATTAAAACATTTAGATAGTTCCCATGTACTTTTAGAAGAAATACTATTTTACAAAGAAAAAGAGAAGACTATTGTGAAAAAGGAGTATGCTAATTTAAAAGACGAAGATAGAGAGTTAGATTTGAAAATAGAAGAAGCCGAGAAGCTTATTAAAAAAGCTTCTGAAATTTTGACAAACAAAGAGAGTGAATATCAAAATGAGATATCTACTCTATTGCAAGATAATAAAAATTTAGCCAAAGAAATTTCTCTAGTACAATTTGTAGTTCAGAACAGCATTCCAATGGCATTCCTAGAGGACCTAAAAAATGAGGTAGTATTTAATGAAGATACTCAAGAGTGGCAAGTTAAAGGAGTTGCTTACTGTGGAAATAATTTAAGAAAAGTAAAATCTCGTGAATACCATAAAAAAAGTTATCCAGATTCGGTATATTATCAGTATTCTAAAAAAACCTAAACATATTCCAGAAATAACTCTAATGTAACTAATTTATTATAATAACATTATAAAACTAACTTAAAAGGTTTTATTCTTTTGAATCTTCGTATATTTCATGTTGTCCAGAAATTGGAAGAAGTCGTTTTTTCGATATTCTAGTGAAAATTATTTAGTCAACAGTCAACTAATATATAAAAGACCGGAGACGATTTTCTCGTTCATGTCTTTAAAGGTAGTGACGACAAACGATGTAATATTTGGACATGTTCCGCATGTCCGTCAAAATTAAAATTGGGCTTTTCATAAACATCTGTATCTGTATATGTAACGTGTGAAGAGTGGGTTAACCCACAACCCTTAGGCCTCAGCAGGCCTATTGTGAATCCTCCTAAGTAAATAGGCATCTCCTAGGTCGTGAGCTAGCCTACAGATTAAATGTAGTTGCCAACGTCGCCAAGAGGTGCTTCTCTGGGATCTGCCGGTGTTATCGCCGTACACAAATCTTCTAATAAATGGGAGTGTCGGCAATCGTAGAGGATATGCTTGATGGTCTCATCTTCTTGTTCGCACCCTCTGCATAGTGCGGATTCTGACAGCCCCATGATATGGAGATGCTTTCGTACTTGGCAATGACCAGTCAGAATGCCTGTGATCAGGCACATATTCTGTCTAGTCATAGTCTAGTATTTGTTTGCTATAGTGTTGTCAGCATAACTTAAAAGCTCCCTGGTAAATCTGCAGCTTCTTCTTTTATCCCATCTTTTCTTAAATTTGTAACATGAATAGCTGGTTATTTTATCTACTTTGATATATGTGTTTGAGCTCAATTTATAGGGCGTGGGTTAGGTTTTTAAATAACTCTAATAACTTTGAAAAAGAAGTTGGGCCCCACTATATTTAAAGCTTATATACTTAACTCTACATTAGTGATAAAAATATAAAAAATCACTAACCACTAACAAATTATACTTAAAATTTTTTTTAGATAAGGTAGGTATCAAATTCTAATTCACATAAGTTTGCAAATAATTCAAATTTAAAACAATTTATTGATTAGATCATTTGCACTTATCTGTGTGGTAAATAATAGCGGATTCGACTGGCTGCATTAATGCGCATTTAGTTCGACTTTTTTAAGTGGTGTTTGTTCGACTGACAGAACCTAATTAATTAAAAGTCAATTATTGCATTCGACTGAAATTGCTCGGTACCAAGGCATAGTGAAATTTTTGTTCGACTGGCAGGCGCTTTTGCTCAAAGTTCGAATTTTTTGGAACTGTACTTTTTTTCAGTGCCAGTGTCATTTTGGAGGTTAGGAATTGTTTCATATTTATAAATATATTACCATCTTTGTCTTTATTATTAGTGATAATGGAAAATCTTTGAAATTAATAGAGATTTAATTTTTGGTATGGCAACTATAAATAAATATCGTTAAAAATTTGTTAGAAATCTGAAATGTCAAGTGCTAACTGTGCCAGTCGAATAACGATAAATATGCGCTACACTAATGTCGAACTCTAGCTCGTGCTTGCTGTGTGCACTGCTAGATATAAATTTAAATTATAAAAATTCTGCCCAAAATCAATTCAGAACTAAAAGCGCTTTGTCATCGAGCAAGAGCATTTGAGTCGAATCCGCTATAAGATTATAGGATATGATAAGTTAAAGGTAAAATCAGGTATTTCTTCCTTTGCCCCAAATTGCAGAGGTACATCAATACTTGAAACATTATATATCGGTCAGGCAACTTCAACCAAGTGATTCGGATTCATATTCATAACTCTCATTCAAGACTCCTATTCGTGATTAAACCGTTAATGATCTTCAAGATAAATGATTCTTATTTGTATTCAAACCTGAACCGTCTAGAGATTGCCATAGGCTTATAAAATCAGACGGTAGTTAACATAAATAAATATAAATTAATATTTCGGATGAACGAAATTAAAATAGAGGTGATCTATTCGTGGTTGTCTGTCAGATCAAATAAAAATTTCACTTCCTCTGACACAAGCACATACTTCGATTTTTTCTTACTATACGGAGAATGGTCGAACTGCGCAACTTTCTGAGTGCCTTTTAAAAGGAGATAGAAAACTCCGCCATTTTAAAGTCTTATTACGTGTTGCCTACATCTTGGCGCAATAGTTTTAGTCATGTTTTAGTGGTTATGTTATAATATTTACCCAATGTTAGTCCCCAAAGATATTATTTACGAACCTACACTTTACACAACTATTAAGAGGAGTATTTACTTGGCTGTAGAGCGGAGCATGCAAGGGTTTCGTAGTACCCCACTTTTAAAGTTTATTTTTGACTTATTCTGAAAGAAAAAAATATGTACGTGTAGGTAAAGGATAAATCTATGCTCCTCTGGAAACACTTTTTTAAAATTTAAAACAGTTTTTTCTAAAAAAAAATACAAAACTCGACTTGTTTTACCCATTTTCTCAATTTTTTTTAGAAAAAACTAAATTGAATTTTGAATTAGTGGTTCCAGAGGAGCATAGATTTAACCTTTACCTACACACACATATTTTTTTATTTTAAAAATAGTCAAAAATAAACTTTAAAAGTGGGGTACTACGAAACCCTTACATTGCAAGATTTTTCGTCTGGAAAGTGGCGCCTCTGTTAGATTTTTAAGAAATTAATATTTGTGAATGAAAACAATTTATAATATATTTTACTGATGTTTTACGAGGGATAAATAAATTTTACGTATTTGTACACCTTATTTTTTACGTAATTTATTTCTGTAATACTAAGATTGGCATATATATTATATGCAAGGGTTTCATAGTACACCAATTTTACAGATTATTTTTTAATTTTACTAAAAGAAATTTTATGTAAGTACAGGTAAAGGCTTAACCCATACCTCTCTGGATTTACTTTCAAAATATGAATCAGTCTCTTTTGAAAAAATCTAAGAAAAGAAACGAAAAGAAATAGAAATGTTAAAAAATGAAAGAAGAGAACAATATATTTAATTTTTTCCTACAGGAGCATTTATTTTTATTACAAGAAAAATAGAAATACGTTAAAAGCTTTTTCATCTAGAAGGTGTTACCAACAAAATATATATCTTTTTCTACTATTTAGTGAGTGATTTGAATTCATGTTGTTTATTTTTTACATACAGTAATTTCGCTCAATTATATTAAATTAATTTTATCATTTATTTATTAAAAAAAATATATATATACGAAATTGGAAGGTATACACTGAGATATGAATTATATGTTTTTGTTTAATGAATACTTCTTCGAGTCAACAATAATTATTAATTCCAGCATGTTAATATCTCTTCAATCCGTTAAAGTAATGTAAATATTTTTTCTTGCTTTCGCGCATGGCTTTGATTTGTCGCACCCTTTGAGGCAAGAGAACATTTTCTAAAAAGTTAGCCAAAGTCTATAAATGAGAAAAACAATTGTGACAAGCTGATTGTGCATTGTGGCACAATAGAAGACGGAAACGAGTCACTGCTTTAAAATTTGGAGAAAGTAAAAAATCTCGTAAAATCTTTTATTTATTTCTAAAGCCACCCGATATGGCATGGACCATAAATTCAAAGCAAAATAAGATTTGGAAATTTATTTGCAAGTAAAAGTTTTTAAATGTGGACATTTTATTGAATTCGAATTTGATTATGTTGCTGTCAGTCTGGATGGAATAACAAAAAAACAAAACTCTATGATAGAGTTAAAATGTCCATATGGAGCTGAAGTGCGGACTGTAGCAGAAGAAATATGCAGTAGAGAAATAACTTTTTGGAAAAAGAACAATTCCATTAAGAAGAACCACTATTGGTATTTTCAAATTCAGGGCTAGCTGCACATAACACAAATGGATTTTTGCATTTTGTGCTTTTGGACTTCTGGAGGAATAGAAGTGGAGAAAATATCTCATATTGACAGCTTTTGAGAAAAAAAGATACAAAATAAAATTAAAATTTTTTATATGCAATATGTCTTGCCGGAACTTGTTGATAGCGAAGCAATAGAGACATGGAAGTACGAGACAGAATATTAAATAATTCGTGAGAAATTTTGTTGAATGTTTATTAACATAACGCAAGGAATCTTAAATTATTTTGAATATTTTTATTAATTTAAGAATTGAATTTTATTTATTTCTAAAACATGGTAGTAGGCGATCCATTTAATATATGATTAATGTCGTATTATTATATTACACTATTTTAAATTTAGGATTTTACCAGTGGCAGTGGTAATTGATGATAGGTATATAATTATTATTACACCAAATGTTTTAAAAGGCTACACCAACTAGTGGAACACGCTTTTAAGTCCCCAAATAATAGTTTCAAGATTTTGATTCGGATTAGAAGTTTTAGTATACAGGGTTTTGTGTCAAAGCCAAGTCATGTAGGTATTGTTATTGTAATACGTAGATGAGTAACTATCATCAATAGAAATTTAAAATTCAAACATAAATCTTTGTAACGACGTTATTTATAACTTTATTAACTTCATAACGGTCAAAAATGTTAGTTAACTTATTTAATTTTAAATATAAATTGATTTTAATTTTAACTTAGAAATTTTCGAAAAGTTCACTATATTGTTTAGTTGTTGCAACTTTACTGCGCTTAAGTAGCGTTCAGATTAAAATATAAATTTATGGAGCTTAAGTGAAAAACAGAAACTAATGCTTTCATTCCAAAAAAAGTATTATGGCCAATAAAAAGAATTTTGAATTGTGATATCTGCAAGTCCTTATTTAAAACCTTTAAATTTATTATTATCATTATACAAGAGTTATTTTTACAAATTGATACAAATATCGAACATAAGTTAGTTGACATAAACATTATTTCCATAATACAAATAAATATATCTCTGTTAAAGAATACTCATAATTTATTTAATATATTCATTTAAACATGTTTTTGTTTTTTGTCTGGATGATATTGAATACTAACTTTTTCTATATAACTTCTTATCGACACATTGTGAGATAAAAAAACAGACAATTAATTAAAAGCGTACTCACAATTTCAATGCTATACTGTTTCCCAAATTATGAAAATACTAAAGAATATTTAAAAAAAAT